TCTCCTCTGCCCCGCCAGGGTAAGCACCACTCCACGCTTTGGGCCTGCACTTGACTATTTCTGACTAAACAAGTAGCCTCCCATAGTCTTGAGATTGGGTGCCTGGCCCGTTTCACTAAGCATAATGCCTTCTGGGTCATCGTGTCGTCCCAAGTGACCTTGTCTTCCTGTTTAAGGCTGCATAATATCCCGTTGCGTTTGTGCCCGGCATTATCTGTACACCGAGCCGTCCGTGGGCGCTTCTAGTGCTCTGGTCTCGGCTGCTGTGCTGCCCTGAGCACAGGCGTGTGGGGAGATCCAGGTTCTGTTTCCTTTGGCTGTGTGCCCGCAGGTGGGATTGGGGGATCATGTGTTAGTTCCAGCTTTAACTTTTTATTTTGTTTCGTTGAGATAGTCTTGTTATGTAGTTCATGCTGGCCTAGAACTTACTACATAGCGCAGAGTGGCCTCAAATTCGCAATAATCCTCCTGCCTCAGCCTCCCGAGTGCTGGGATTGCAGGTGTGCTGCACCACACCTGGCTTGTTTTAAGTTTTAAAAGAACTTCTATGCCATTTTCCTTAGTAGCTTTACACTCCCATCAACAGTACTTCCCGGGAAATTTTCACCTCTGCCAGAGCCCGACCTCCCTTCCGGAGGTGAATGCGCCCGCAGCGCCCGAGCCGGGAAGAGCACCCGTGCTGAGCCCTGCTTCATGTGCGAGGGCTGTGGGGGGACAGCCAGATGCCAGCAGTACCCTGTGGCAGTCACACATGCCTCCAGTTTACTCAGGACGATTGGGGGGTCACTGGTCACAAACCAAAGTGTGAGAAATTGTGGGTCAGCGGCGAGCTCTCTCAGGATTCTCCGCAGTGCTGTTTGGGGCTGTTTGGGGCTGTGGCTCACGTCTCCAACTCACTTTGCACCAGTGACATCCTTTAGCATTGATGGGAGCTTCTGCGATCACAAAATCAGTAGAGGGAGCTAGAAGTGGTGCACGTCTATAGTCCCAGCACTTAGTAGGCTGAAGCAGGAGGGTCACAGTGCATTCAAGGCCAGCCTGGGCTATATAGTGCCATAGTGAGTTTAAGGTCAGCCTGAACTGTAAGTGAGACCCATTCTCAAAAAACACGGCAAAATTTATAACTCAGTTACTTTTTTTTTTTTTTTTTTTTTTTTTTTTTTTTT